AGTTTACGGACATGATCAGCTTGATATAGATAGAAATGTTTAATTTAGAGGATAGATGTGTCACGTTACATTATCTGAAGTGTTCTATTCCAATGATTGTTTAGGCAGAACATTTTTACATATACAATTGTTATGCAAGGCATCAGCTAACACCATTAATTCTTTTTAACTGAACATCGTGATGCTGTATGGACGATATATTAAATATCGTTGCCAGTATCATATAGGGTTGGTTATAATCATGATAGAATCGAACAGAAACATCGAGCACAGAATAAAGAAAGCAATAGTTACATTGACAACTCAATCAGGTCTAACAAGTCTACCATGATTCAAGTTACATTTCATTTTATGTTTTAATGTTTGGTTTAGATACTAGTCTAACTAGTTAAATTTACAACAGACGGTGTTAGTGTAGATTATCTGCAAGTAGTGATAAAACGATTAAATATCTGGAGCTGCTATAATCTCACTTGTAGAACGGAGTATACTCTAAGTACATATAGCACATTTTCTGAGGAGTAGTAAGCATTCACACAGCGAACAAAGGATGGTACTTATTTTACTTCACTGACAAATCGAGGTAAATTAATGCGCTTTGAGATTTTCTAACCTGTTTATTGAAAACGAGTATTAAGTTTCGTACTTTTGAGTTGCTATTAAGTTCTACCGACCCATCATCGATGACTTCTAATCTGTTCTTTTCCTTGATTTGGTTAAAGGTTATGGTTATTTGCACAACTTCTGGAAAGTCACTTGACTTGAACTAACGTTTCTGAAGGTGTCCTAAGTGATTACGATATTCAACTGGCATAAATAATCCAATAGGCTTACCAGTTCTATACGTTTTCAGAGGTGCAAATGAATCTAAACATGAGTTAATGATCTGATCGAATGCATCAAAGGCATCCTCGAGACTGTTACTTGAGAATAAGGTCGTAGTCAGAGGGTCTCACCAAGTTATGTTTGCTTTCCTTAGTTTGGCTAGTTTTCCTGTGTGGAATGGCTGTGCGAAGAATAGATAGGGGGAGAACCAGCTACTCTTTTATGGTCATAACCTTCAAATTCATTTTCTACTTGTATAAATAGCAGATTGACATTTCTACACAGTATTAGATCTATTATATAATCATGTTTTGCTGGGATACGAACCCACTGCTACCAACAGTACAGTATAATTGTTGTTAATAATTCGTCACCACTTCTAGTATTCTAGAGCAGTTCAAATCTCCTGTAACGACCTTCGCGCCAAAATTTAGAGCGAATGCATGTACAAATACATTAACAATAAGACTATTCACATTACTCGAAGTGTCCCAGGAGTAGACTATGATTCGGAGTGTTGACTGATATCCATACCAATCCACATAAACTAATCAATCCAGCCCACAACTTTAATAATTGTTAAGCAACTTAGAGCATGTATAAGACGACTACCTTTATGTTTGGTTTCTCGGTTAGAACAATAGAGTTGGTAGTTCAGAATATTTAATTCTGAATCAGACACTAAGGGAGAGCATCATGTTTCAGTGACACATATGGAGAAAGTTTTAGCTATTAAAGTTAAGGTTCCTATAACCGAAATTTTATTTAGAATTGAACGTGCATTGATAAGTAATAAAATTAAAGAGGAAGTATAAAGTGTAAAAAGCCGACAACGTCCTTATCTTGGTTATGCATTCTAGTGGTTACCAGACTACGGTCTGGTCTGGAGTGTATTAATACATGGGCTATAGCTTGAACAAGCAGTTGCTGGAATGGGACCATATACATATGTAAAACGAAAAATCATTATCACGATGATGTAAAATGATTCGGTAAAAAGCTAGGGAATTCAGCTGTTTGCTGGCGTTGAATGTATGATGCGTAACCTAGTAGTCTATCTAGACCTTTGGGAAGGCGATGAGGATAGTTATCTCTCGCAGATTCCGTAAATAAAAATTTTGCGTTCATCTGTAGGATATGTTGGTTTCCTACAATTTGTATAGTATTAGATCTGCTTATATTTGGGCTGTGATAGACGTTTAGTATATCATTTGCAAAAAGCATATTTCGTTGATTTAAAAGTAGGGTATCGACAAGTCGCTAACTGTTTATAGGATTAGCTGTGATGTTGAAGGGGATCAATCAGTTCTAGTCTATGTATTCATAGAATCACCTCTATGTTTAGAAGGGAATCTATTTTTGTTTAGTTGAGTCTTTATATTTTTGGTAATGATTTTGGAACCAGACACTTCTACACACATTTTCTTCACATAAGATTTTGGAATCTCAATTTTAACACCTTTTTGTAAAGCTTTGAGTTAAGGCTAGACGTATGAGTATGTGCTTCTACTGTAATATTAGATTTTCAATCAGAAGACCTACGTCGACATTTAGTGTGCATTGGTTATCTAAGGTTTCATCAACACGGTCACGTAAACGTTGGGGCGATTTAGCATTCTTTATTGATAAATTGCGGCGTCAGTTGACAGCAGAAGTGTTAGCTGCACAAATGAGTCCAGAGCATTATTATCGTTTAAGGCAGGCTTTTGAGTAAGTCTCTAGTTGGTCGTTCTTTTTGAGACTATACGAGTACTCTAGAACTAGGTAAGTGCGCAGACCCTTAGGTTAGATTCTTTGAGTTGTTCAGCTGCCAAATATGAGTCCAATCGAAACAACATTGAACACGAGAAGTTCTAATGCTTTCTATCAAGGTGAATACATTGTCGTGGAATATCCGAAAGGTTAATCACTTTTTGTACCGACTGTCTCACTGACTTAAGCGAGATTTTATCAGGTACACTATAGATTACCACGTGATTTCTAGCGATTAGTCGTTTAGTAACTTCACTAGTAATGAAGTCTTCAAAATTATCGAGAACCATGACCTTGGACAACAGCAGCTTAAAGTGTCACAACGCCTTTACTTCTTGCTTATGATCATCATGTATTGATAACTTACAAGCGGCTCCGCTTTAAACCGCATTTCACCTGATTGCTTATTTCTACTGTCTAGTTCACGCTTTATATTATCTATGTTATTGCATCTTAACGTGCAAGTCGCAAGTCCACTAGATTCTGAGCCAATGTGCGGCGTAAGTCGGTTCATAGAATTATCAGTTTCAAAAGAAGAAGACAGGCAAATGGCTTACGTATTAACAGAATTGCTATTATCCACGGTGTTAAGTGGTTCGGGGGCTCGTTTTTTTTTGTTACGCAACCTATTCATATATTATTGTGAATCTTAATGCCATACATATGTTATATTTAAATAGTAAATAAAAACTACATACTTACTTCAGAAAGTATAATTCTATAAAGGCAATGAGGATCCATGAAATCATTGGTAGCTCCAATTCATTAAAAGAACCATATTTGAAATTTCTTGATAAAACTAAAGACTTCTAGTTCAAAAATAATGAATGTACCTTTCTACCCTAAATGCCTAGTTTGGACATAAGCGTACTTTTATAAATCCCTGCAGTCTTGTCACGAATATATTTATTCATAAGTCTTTTTTCGTAAATCGAATCAGGAGTAAATCTAGTAGTGTTCAAGTCGATCAGTCTCCTCTCGATCTCTCTCGCTTGCCAGCCTTTACGGTAATAGAATAGTTTTCTTCCCTCTGCCAAGGCAGTTTGGTCATAACCGAACTCACATGCTACTAGTCTCAAAGTTAACTAGATAGCTTATCGCGGCAATGCCTTCAAACAAGATTGAGACAAAATTATTTCCTGTGTATTAATGGTAGACATTCAAGGACGTAGCACAATGCAAAGCAATACCATAGATGGAAATCAGTTACTATATAAAACAAAGGCGATGTGATTCGTTCTAACTTATTATTGAGGATATGAGAAATCCATTTTTGGAAGGAGTCAACTTTGATAGACGAAAAATGTCATGAAATCGATAGATTATAGGAGCCGCATCTTGTGACATTCATCAGTATCATGATAAAGCATTGATCTATTATTTTGTTTGAATAGTTAATCAAAAGACATAAAAGTTACATAATTCTGCCAGTGTTAGTTTAATAACAAGAAATAATCTGCATAGATTCTTTAATTGACATTTGAAATGCAATGACAACATTACATTAATCTAAACTGACCGGTTGAAACACATCAACTTCACTCATACAACTATCGGCTTTGATGGGGAATGAAACTGGTGAATTTTCAATCGACACACTAGTAAGAAACTATGATTGCTAACAAATAGTAGTAAAAGAAGGTATGAAGAAAGCTAGGACAAATAATAGAGCTCTATTTTATTGTACGCTAAATAGTTAAGAAAAATAATATCACGAGATAGCATTTTTTGTGACGAAAACAATCATCTAAGAAAAGTATCAGTAGATTACCAAACCTAGTGATGAATTTACCTTTGACCATAGGATATTTCTGGTCTTCAGATTATTCACACGATAAATAAACGAATAATCCTTCTCAAATTCTGAAGCACTTGTATGTGTTTTATACTTATGAAACATCCTTTCCCAATAAGTGAAATTAGTTCACCTTATTTTACCTAATTCAAACCATTTCATTTATTTTCATAACATGCAGTGTACTTTTTACAACCCAAGATCGACCATCTGGTTTCGTAGCTAAGGTAATTGATAAAGTGTATTGTAACTTTTTAAGAAAAATTCTTCCGGGAAAACCTTTTGAAGCTAATGAGCATTATAGAGAACAACCCAATACGAAATTGAAACTAGCACATTCAAGTACTCCTAGATCAAGTTCAATCGAATCCCGATACATTGCGATGACAATCCAATAACATCGATGGATAAATTCATTGAACTTAATATTTTCGACGCTACAAGTCATAGGTTTTCATCAAGAGTTCCAATGAGAACTATGTAAAAACCAACTGGAACCAATACTTTAATACTTAAATGACACCATATTTCAGATATTAATATAACAGACAATTGTAAATTTTGGAGTTTTCAATAGTACACGCTGATATAAGCTTTAAATAGAATCAACCAGATGATAATACTAAAGCTTCACAGTAATTGTTTAATTATCGAAAAAAAAGTCAAATCGTGTATACAGAACATGAGGCTTTCAACTACAAACAAAAAAACAATTGTTAAATATTCGCTTAGAAACAAAATTTGTAACAAAAACAACAAACAAACAAACAAATAATACCAAAATATAAATGAAAAAACAAACAAACTGTTTTTCTTCTTTTCACGTAAATGAATGATTCATCATCGTTCAGCATCATCGGTTTATTTTATGGTCAACAAGTACATCTGATAAACAGGACAACTATGGTAGTAGAATAACAATTGTCACCAAAACTCACAAACAGGTAAACATTTCTAAAGCAACCACTTCAATCATATATATATATATATATATATATATATATATATATTTAAACCGCTGTGTTGTGTGCTTGCGTATATGTCATATCTAATGCAGAAGTAATTAATGTACGTAAATAATGCATTGTATATTAGCAAAAAAAAAACTATAAGATTCAAATACATGAATATTGTCTTTTTTTAAAAATATTTTTTTTAAAAAAAAGAAAGCAATCACTTGCATACAAAACATAGAGTTATTCTCTTTTTCCAAAAAATTAATTAATAAAAAAAGGATGTTTAAAAATAGAAACAATGAACAGAAGTGAAAAACTGTACATATCAAGAGTACCATTATTGATATTAGATTATAATTATGAATTGATTATAGTCGATAATGAAACCATCACAGATAAGGAAAAGAGGAATGGTTATCGAACAACCCTATAGTTGGTGGCATCAATGAAATTGTCGAAACAAAAAGAACGGAAAATGTAATTGTCATTAATTCGTTACAACTGTACATTTAATATTATTGTTATGAATTATCATCATTATTATTATTAGTTTTTATCAATGTTTCTGCTTCTCGAATTTCTAGTTAGCTATTCATCTCCTTGTTTTGAACATAATAAATCGCATATCACTGTTGCATGCTGTGAAATCACATCGTAATCAATTAAACCAAGTTGTATGATTGACAGACGACTTCTAGCACTTGATTTACGTCCTGTACGAGTTGTACTGATACGTTTTAAACCAGTTTGCATATCATTCAATCTTTTCACTGTATTCATCACTGATAAATCCTATAACAAGAAAATAAGTAAATACATAAAATAAATTATAAACAAGTGAACGTTAGTTAGTTCGGATGACGTCACAAGAATTATGTTGAAAATAAACAACATTACACGGGACTTTTCTTGAAAATCTAAATAAATTTAATTTTTTTTTGTATTAAAACTTCAAGAATAAAACAACATCCAAGCTAATGTCGATTAGGTAAACGTTTTTAATAAAAGCAATATTTCAATCACTTACAAAACAAGTTGTTTGTGGAAATGAAATCAAGTTTGCAAATTAGAAAATGGTTGTTAAAATGATAACTGTATAAAAAGCAATACGTGGTTTCATAACACGTGATTTTTTTAACGTTACACAATGTGGTAGTACCTGGTAGTTAATTGGTTCATTCAGTTGGCTGTAAATTTGTAAACTCGTAAGTTGGTCTTTCACTCTATCTACTACTAAAAGCTTATAGGGAACAATGTGGCTAATGAAGTAAGTGAACATATTTCTAATCGATAAATGAGTTTAAGTAATTAGCTATGGAAAACTAGTTACAGCGGTTTCATTAAACAGTAGGATTTCTTATTGCTGTTGAAAAATAATATTCAGCTTAAATATAAAGATTATATGAAAGTTTGAAGATGTTGAATTTTATTTATGTTGGTACATCATAATCCAATGAACATTTAGACATTTATTAATTCTCTCTTGGTAAGAATGCATACTTTCTGAGAAAATTGGAATCTGTATGGAAATGTTAATATTGAATAGTTTAAGCAATGATTAGCGTTTGGTAAGACTGAGTATACATTTTGTAACATGAACTTAATGTTTTAGGCTTCGTGTTGATATCCTTATCACAGTCATAGAGTAGTAGTTGACTGTTAAGTAGTAGGTTGTTTTTTTTTGTTCAGTACTTGAGTTTGAAGGTTAGTTAGTGTACGACATATAATATTTGAGGCTAAATATTAAGTAACTAGTTACTATTATTATATTGTAACTAATTATTTCAAGAATTATTTTTAAAATAAAGTGAATAATATTAAAATTAGAGTTATGGAGATTAGTGTTTGTACACATTTGAACTCATCATTAAAAACCTGGAAGCATTGGACGGCCGTTTCGTCCTGGTATGGGACTCATTAGCAGTGCGCATCCACTATTGATGATTTCAAATGTGTAAAAAAACTAATCTCCATAACTCTAGATGAAAATATCGCTAGTGACTAGCCTCATGAGGAAATTCTCGGAGTTCTAGTGAGAAGACATGACCAGTGGAGTTCAAACCTGTCGGGTGTATGCAGTACCTACCAAAGGCAAATGGGTGAGGTCGCGCAAAATCCCTAGATCAATCAGAGTAAGATATTAACACCGTTGGATGCCGGCCCAGTGGTCCAGAGGTTAAGCGTTCGTGCACAAGACCGAAGGTCCCGGGTCCGAATCCTGCGAGCTGCAGGAGTCATGGATGCATACTGCTGATGAGTCCCATACCAGGACGAAACGGCCATCCAGTGCTTCCAGGTTTCTAATTGTGGTCTAACAATGATTGATTGATGATTTCAAATGTGTAAAGTGAATAATACTTCTTAATTTGATGATAAATAGCCCTAACTCGAGTTATGCATTAAAAAAATCGTTGTAATATCATGATGAATGTTAGTGAGTAAGTAACCGAATGAACTTACTTTACGTATACGATGATGTGAAACACAAAGAGCTCGTATTGCTGCCAATGCAGCTTCTTGTACTCGCCGATCACCATCTAGACAACCAGTTTCTAAAAGCCTTTGAGAAAGAATTCGTTAAAATAACATTAACAAAATTTGAATGAATAAATAGAAAACAATTATTAGATTACTATGTTATGGGCGAGATAACAACAATGAGAAGCTGAATTAATGTATCTTTATTTTGAACTAGTGTAACAATATCTTGATTTTATGTTATAAGATGTATGAGATATTGGTGGGCATTTTCTTGTAAGTATCAAATGAAATCAAACTAAGAGGGAATATTCTTCAATCAAAAAAATTAGGATGACTAATTTAAGTGATCATCGTATAATTTTACATCATTTCTTAATAACTCAGATAAAAAAACAGTAGAAGGTTGGATAAACAATGCCATTTCATCATATCGAATGAAATGTAATATTTGTGTAAGACAATATAGTATTTCAAGACAGATCCTAAACATCACAAATATCAAAATAAATGAACTCTTTAAACTTAGATGTAATAGAAGGAATTGATAGAAATGTTAACTAATAACATCAGGTCAACTTTTACTGCAAGTATTTAATATGTTTACTTAGCTAGATTTCTAAATAACATACAGGGTGTGTGAGAGAGAGAGACAGAAGAGAAAAACCAAAATCAGAAGAAAGTTATTCTAGGGAAAGAAAGAGATGTGTATTTACGTACATAGGAATGTGACAAAATTCAGAATAGACAAAAAGAGGTGAGAAAAAAAGGCCCAAAGCAATTAAAACGATCTAACAGGCAGTGAATTAACGTTTTCTAATTTAATTTATGCTCTCTGAATGCAAAATGTTTATTGAGTGTTAATCTACTTCATTAACTAGTTTACGCATGATCGATAGCATTGACTAATATAATTATAAATCTCCTTGGATCACATGAATAAATATTTATCAATATCTCTGAGCATGAATACATGTTTATCATCCTTTTAAGAAAAATTAACCAGCATACTTGATATACGATGTTAAGCGTTTACTGAGTTAAAACGTGAATGTAAACCATGTGATCACAACTACTTGAAGAAACAAGTATTGAGTTTCCTGTAATACCACTAACACACACGTTCAATCCTGTGTTGATTTATGAAGTGTGCACACTACTTGATGGGTTTCAGTAATTCTTCAATTGATCTTAGACTATGATGAAAACTATTTCTATTATCAATATTACATAAAGTAAGGAGGATAAATTATATTCGTATTGTTGCTTTTTTTGAAAATAACGAAATACAAAGATTTTTTAAATCTAATTAATCCTAATACAACTTGTTTATTTCGTTAGCTTCAACGAACATCATGTATTTGCTTATGCCCCGATTGTTCATTGATCAATGGTATCAATGTCCAAGTTTGCAAGAAACAACAACTTACGACATTGACTAAACAAACTACACGTGAGAGATAATTCAGTACTACAAATAACATAAACTTTTTTTAAAAGGAAGTTTTACATTTTTTCAAAAAAAATGTCATTTCAGGACAAATCAAGATTCACTATGTTTTCCTTTGTCCTACCAATATGTATTTTTTTAGACATGTTCATTTGCGTACTATGTGAATACAGCAATAGTGTGAGTTGATTGTATTAGTATGACAAGATCCTGTTTTTCAGATTTATTAATTTACATGCATGTAAATAAAAAACATAGAGGTTGAAAGGTTATGAATGTTTTTCTCTCTCTCTCTCTCTCTCAACAAGTGATCAACCAATCATCTATCAATTGTGTAACAAACAATTACCATCATTAACATTCCATTTTTGTTTATGAAGGAAGAACAGAAGAAAAAAAAGTGGGAAAAAGAAGCAATGTGGAACGTTGACAGCGAGTTAGGTTTCTTTTTTTCTTGTAATTTTTGTATAAATACGAATGTTTTGTTGGAAGGAAATTTTAATCATATAATTAATTGACTATTGGTAATTGATGTTTGAATTAGAAGAATTAATAATGATTAAAGAAACATTTGAAAGAACAATATAAATTAAATTGAAATTAAATTATTTTTTGCGAAAAATTAAAAAGTTTTACGCTTTTAATTTATAAAAAAATAATTTGTTTTGAGCTCTAGTGATTTTCTTAAGTGAATTTAATTATTTTTTATAAAATTGATTTCATTACTGATTGAATAACACAACGAATATTCGAAAGTTGATATAAATAATTAGCTTTGAATTAGATTTTAATGAGAAAATTTATTCATATTGCCATACAAACAAAAATTGAATAATTGTCACATTCATGTTGTTTATTTAAGAAGCAATTTAAGTTTAATGAATTTTTGTTTCATGGTCTCTAAGGCATTCTCAGTGTGTATCAAAGAATGGTATGGTTGAATAGTGACTTTTAACAAACAATTTAACGCTATTTGTTTATCAATCCTCATGATTAATAAAACTATGATAATCTATAAAAAATATACCCATTATTACTAATTTTGATAATTTTACTACTTATTGATAATGTTGAATTCACAATTACGGGTTGGCAGAAAAATAAAGATTTCACTAATTAATTTAAAAAGTTACATATCAGGGTATATTTCGACTTATGAAAAAAAATTTAAATAAAACAAACTATTTTCATCATTGATATGATGAACTTACGCTTGAAGAACTTTATATTTACACACAGAATCATACGACTGATCGATATGATAACAGAGATTTCCAAGACAAGCTGAAAGTAAAAAAAAATTACAAATAAACAAAGAGCTTATTGCAAACTGTAAGTAATAATGCATAAATTCACTACATAAACGGATTGATAGCAGCAGTTTACCACAGCGAGAAACCAGATACAATAGACAATTTAATGACAGTATAAAAATTCAAATTATAAACTTTAAACTTAAGAAATGCACACTTTTTCTGCCGATCGCGTTTCTGTTGCAGACTAGGCGAACAGATTCGATTACAAATGATCAATATGAGGTTTCTACTGGCTACAGTGAAAACATCAGGAGTGGAAATTCGATTATAACTCTGTCTCTCTGTCCGGGACATACATAAATCGAGCTGCTTCTTTATTTCGATATGTTGAGGTTAAATGAATTACTCTACTCGGATCCTGTATTCGCGTTTCCGAGACGCAGAATATATCGATGGTGCGAGATTCGAGGGTCCTAGCTACGGAAGCCTGTTATCCTATTTGATACAATGTCCGGACATTAAAAAGTCCAACATATAGTCTAGAACAGGGTTTAAGAAGACTGGGAATAACGTTTCGTGAGTTGGAGTCTTTTGCATTAACTGTGCAGGGTGATAAAGGAATGAGAGAAGTTAAGTCATGAAGATAAGGGAGATGTTAGGGGGAGTGAGAAGGATTCGATTATGATCGATTCGGTCCAGTGTGCTGTTATAGGTATGAGTGTAAATGTCACTTCCTGTCTGCCCGCATCGTGAGAGGGTGTTTCTCGCTCAAACTGAAAAGGAAGGTATATTAGTGTTGATCTTAGAGACCTGCGAGCATTACCGCAGGACCCAAAGGACAACTGCTTGAGGCCGGTCACGCACGGCCTCGAAATAAGATGAATTTATATTCTCGCTTTATTCAAATTCAGCTGTGTAAAATTCCACTGTTTCATTCCTTTTATTCAGTACATTTACTCTATGTAACATATTTAGTCATTGTACATATTTCATAATTACACTTCATGTAACAGAAACTAATTTAAATGTGTACTTTTCGAATGTATGTAATCGGAAATTACTCAAGTGTAGTTATGAATGCAGTATCTCAATGTTTCATCTTTAACTACCTAAACAAACTAATCAGAAACGTCTAGAATCATTTATTCACAGATTATTCACTCAAAAATATATGTACTGTAAACATCTTATCGCATATTAGCCATGAATAGATCGAAATTCGACATTAAAGACAGTAATCAATTAACTTGCTTTACACACTTCACATATACACATCTAAAGTGTGACACTGATACTATATTTCAAAAAATAGTTAATCATTTTAACCTTTTTAACAACTTATTTTCAAAGCCTTACCAGCAGCATTTGTTCGAACACGAGATGAACTATCTTCAGTTAGTAATGAAACAATTCTTGGCAAAGCGGGCACAATGTTTGTACATAATTCGTTGGATAAAAATAACGCATTACCAATAATTAATAAGGCATATTGTCGAATCACTGAACAAGTATGTTGTAAATGATTAATGCATATATTCAATGGTTTATCAAAATACCATGTTAAATATTTCATATCTGAAATAGATCGCGTTCTTGATAATGACATTGATGAGGGTGTCGCAGATAAATATTTACGTTTTAATAATGGACTATGAGATGAATTAAATTGAAAACGACAAATTTGATGACATTGTAGTTCATTGGTAAAATGTGGTAGGATATCACACATATTTGATTCACTATACATACATAACATTAAATTATTCAATAAACTTAAACCGTGCACAGCTAATATAACATGAGAATCTTCAATAAAATTGATCAAGTTCTGAGGATTTTGTATAGCTAGAGAAAAAAAATCAGAGAGAAATAATTTTAAAAATAAGGAAGAAATGATAATCAAAGGCAATTAATTAATTAGTCTTTTCTTATCAAGCTAAATTTTCAACGGGATAATATAGAGATTACAATAGGTCAACACAATATATTAATCATCAATTTGCTCTATATCGATCACTAAAATGTCCACACCTTGAATAAATCAAAAAAAGAATTGTACTAAAACTTAAAAGTTGGTTTATTGATCCACTCTGAAAGAATTAAATGGAATTACTTGAACAATATGTTACAATAATCACACAGACTCCGGTAAAAGAGTCCGCCCATTCGAGTTTACAATCTATTGTTATAGTAATATTGAAATATGTCTATATAGTATCTAAGTCATCTTTATTCATGAAGATTGAAGATGGTCGTTAGAAGAGGTAGTGAGGTTACATCCGATTTCAAAATCAAATCCTCAGATTAAATCAATTGTTCATTAATAAGAGAAGGCTTTTCTACATTTAATTTTTAATTAGCGCAAATAAGTTTATAAAGTTCCATTCATCAGAACTATGTGGCCATTTTTTTAAAGTTTCTATAGAAAAGATTGTGTTTAAATACAAGGATCGAACATAAAAAAGGGAAACCTTTCGAAATAGGAACAATATAATGAACTAAAGCTCATAATACTTTATTGCATCAGAGTAAAACATTTATCGCATAACATATTTTGATAAAAATCGTTTAGGCATCTGTATAATGAGTTTCCAAGCATATATTTAAAATAGTTAGCCAACATAACCACTATTGTTAGAACAAGGTAGTTTGTGGAAAATACGAAATCGTTAATTGTTTAAATTAGGAATTGATCATAACCAAAGCACCATTGAAAACCACAAAAGATCAGACAGCTGTTTTATTCGGAGTTCAACCATATTAGATGTGGAACAGCTATTCACTACATGATATGGCGAATCTATTGAATTTAAACAACTGAAAAGATGAATATCGGGTCAGAGGCTTAGCGTTGAATTCGAAACTGTAGGTTTTGGATTCCGACGTCAGCGGGGTCGTGGATGTACGCTACTGAAGAGTGACATCACAAGAAATCAACTGACCAATGCTTCCTGTTTATGATTAATGACTAACCCAAGCATCAATACTTTACGTCAATTAATAATGTGTTGAAATAACTAGAAATTGTAAATTATACAGTGATTCAATCTATTCCCCCACAATAAGTAAATATTCTTATGGTATTCTTATGGTTTGAAAGAAGATAAATTGATTGATTCACTTCTTAGTTTACAGATGAACTGAATTAGAAGAGATTTGGTTCAGTTTATACACAAGTATATTCGGTTTTATCTAGAATATAGTTTGAAAACGGTAGTGTATCGAGTGAATTTCAGTTTACTTCAATGTCTATTGATATGCAAACGTTTGCATCGTAGTCGAAACCTGGTAAAACGATAAAATGATCGATAACTTAACAATAAACCTGTTACCTCCATTCGATATATATACATTGATATGGTGGATGAAATTTGTAGCTCAGGTGGATGATTGTGATGGAGTTTCGTCCTCTAAGCTCCGGAGACCGAAATTCCACCACTACATATATATATTATATGCGTACATAGATTAATTATAAATATTCATTAGGAAAATTATAATTATTATTACTTGGTTGGTCAGTTGGCGTTAACAATGACCAAACTAAATTTCCAGCTGTTCGTTCATCTTCCACAATTGTCATTTGATCCGGTTTGATTGGACGACTATCACTTTTTCTATCAGATAGTTCTAATATACGAAATGCTAAAAATTGTGATAATAAGGCACTAGCACCCCATTGAATTTCCTTAATAGGCGATTTGAAACACCATTGAATCAATTCATGTGTCTGTTAGATTAGAAATGAAGAAAATGAAGAATAAAATATTGTGAAATATCTTGATAGTCCATAAAAGCATGATTTTATAACTGTATGTCAATACGCAAAATGTTTCCATTCAACTGAATAACATTGCTATAGTGTATCGTTTGAATTTGAAAGGTCTTCAGTAAAAGAAGTCCGGAAATATGAAATGAATAGTTTGATTGTAATTAAATAAAAATACATTTCCGAATCATTTAACGTAAATGAGAAAAAAGCATGACCACACTGTGATCTAAGGTGTTTATAAATATTAACTATTATAAATATCATATACACATATTATTTGTTCTGGTTAGAGTTTTTGGAGAACCACGGAAACCATTGACTAAACGATACAAGTGTTGATTGACAGTTCTCTAAGCAAGATACTGTGAATCCATTCACAAGACACAATTAGCAACAGCCTAGCGTTTTAGAGAACAAACCAGATTCCAGTGGAGGAAGAAATTAGGAAAAAACGCTGGAGACGGATAGGCTACACATTTCTGAAAGCACACGACCACGTCACAAGGTAAGTAAGTCTTAACTTGGAATGCTCAAGGAACGCTGAAAAAAAGACTGAAGAACACATCGCGCTGAGAATCGGGAGCAGACCTGAAGAGAATGAACAGCAAAGGAAGTCCCAGGATAGAATAGGTTGGAGAATGCTGGTCATCGGACCATATAAGACATCTTAAACCAATGAGTTACACGATCTCTATGACTTCAATCAAAGAAGAGTTAAGAACCGATGGAGACTAATCTAATACAGCTTCCGTTCATAACACAGTTCCATGGAATAAGCTAATAGTCGATAATGATTCAGAAAACTTATGGAAAATAGTTAGTTTTTTTTCAACTGATTTCTGCGTAGAAGCAAAATAATCGATGAAACAAATCATTCCCATATGTATTATGTATATATAGAGAGAGAGAGACAGAGAGAGACATTTACATTTCCAAATGGAACAGGGGAGTTAGTTTTTTTTTCTTGAATTGGTCCATTTTCGATTTGAATATCTATGTATGATAGACGATTGTCTTTATCTTATGTTATACAAGAGCATTTTGTTTCGAAAAAAAGGAAGAATAGTTGAAGTAAATCTAATTTAAACGAACTACATACATAAGCATTAAGAAGAGGAAAGAAAATACAAATAAAGAGAGCATAAAGAAAGTCTAGAAATTATTCAAATTATTTATGCGACATCAAGATTAATAACTGTCAAATAATGATTTGTTTCTTCTAATTTTAAGCAGTTTTTTCTTTCGTTTCAACTGAAAAAAAATGTGTTTATCCGTGATAAGGAAAAGAAAACTTTTGAACATTGTTACATCAACGTAATCGACGCTAAATAGAAATAATTACTGTGAAACTAGGGAAGATGTAATCTTTTTACAAAAACTTAATTATTCATCACAGTATATTCAGATGTTGCGGTTTACGTTAAAATAGTACATGTCACTCTGAAGACACAAAAATTAACTATTAGTACACGGGTTGCATGGAGTTTATCGGATATCATTGACATGGCTGTGTCATGTCATAAACTGATTGGACTGATTGGATTTATACCGCTTTAGGTATCGACTGAGTGGTCGAAATATCTGACATTAATTCAGAGTCCAGAAAATCCTGAGTTTGATCATCGTTAGGTTAGTTAGTGCTATATACTGGGTAGGATGAAACAACTATAGTCAGTGCATCTCGGTTCTTCAATAATTAATTATATAAGTTGGGTCGATTCAATATCTCAATGACACAAAAAAACAAAACAGTAATTAATTGATTGATAAACAGCAAAACACAAACAAATCAACTAAATTGAATTTAACCTACCGCTTTCACTTCCGGTTCATAATCATCCAAATCTGAGCCAAATAATAAATTAATCAATTGTTTACCTAAATTTTTTTGATAAATTAATCCTTCTTCTTCATTAATTAAATCATATAATCCATGTAGATGTGATATATCATCGGAGCATTCTATACCATGTAAATTAATTGGATTAAAGCATAATCGAAATGCAATCAATAGGATAGATTGTGTATGTGCAAGTAATACTGGATCATTGTCTAATGATTTCAATGTGATAATATTTTTACACTTATTATTAATAATAGTATTATTCAAATAAGTATTGTTTGTATTTTGTTTATATGGTGTATATGAATTAGTTAAATTATAAATATGACATAATGTATGAACAAAATGAGTTAACATATGATTTTCCAAATAAAGCCTAAATAATGTAATAATTAACAGGAGAAAAAAAAATTGAAATTAATAAGCAAATAAAATACAGATAATTACATTCATTTAGAGTAAGAAATATGAACTTTAGTATTCTAAAACATCGGTTTAAAGCGTTTGAAATTGTTAGTCGCTATAAGAAATAAAAGTCATAACAATTGAATATTCAAGCAACTATTTTTTTAACAGAAACATTAACCAATACTTCACCTATTGTTCATGTACTTTTAATTAACAAATAAATAATTTGCTTTTACTCCTTGAATGAATTAACTTTTAGATAAATTATGCATAATGCAATTACCTGTGCTTACTAGTGACTAGCTCCGTGAAGGATCTTCTCTGAGTTCAAATGAAAAGTCTTGACCTGTGGAGTTCAACGCTGTTTGAGTTTAGACAGTAACTACCTATGATAGTGAAAGTATGAGGTTGCGCAAGACCGTGAATTGATCGAAGTTAGACATTAACACCGTTAGATAACGGCTCATTGGTCCAGAGGTTAGGCGTTCATGCGTTAGACCGAAGCTCCTGGGTTTGAATCGTGCGAGGTGCTGGATTCGTGGTTGCGCACTGTTGGTGAGTTCGAAACCAGGACAAAACAACCGTCCAGTGCTTCCAGGTTTCTAATGGTGATCTAACAATAATCTAATCATGATTTCAATACGCAACTCAACATTCTCCACAACCCCATAATGAAATGAAAAATCTAGTTATAGAATACGTAGATTTAGAAAGTAATAAAACGGAAAAACACAGCAAAAGGTTTATACTACTTACTTAGTTAATGCAATTTTATATTCTTCTTCAACATTTTTATATGGAAAATATAATAGATGAGCACATGAATTCAGTATATCCAATACTAAATCAGTTGGATGTAATGCTGCCCATGCACTATTATAGTAGAGGATTAAAAAAAATTAAATACAAATTATTCATGATGTTAAAACCATAGTTATTTAAGAAGTAATTAGGTGACTTGTTTCAAGCTGGTTAACAAACAACACAAGTGAACTCTTGATGGGAGTAATAATCAATGATCATGTTTGACAGACTCAATATAGTTATGCTCTACATTTTCACATCTGGTAGGTAGTATTTAAAATAATCTACTGTTTGAATGAGTAATTCGCATATTAAATGCTTCCTCCGATTCCCCAGGAAAAATGTGTAATTTGCCAACCATACAGTTATGAAAGTATATATTCATATAGGTAGACATCAAACCTGTATTTACCAAATAAATCCATTCAAATTAGGCTCACCATTTAAGTGGCCCATAATTTGATTCCACTGATTTAAATTATTCACTAACTTTGTCGAATATTTATTAAAGTTGTATGATGAATAAATGGTGAGGAGCTACACTTTCATCATAACAGCGAATATGTATTCATGTCAAGAAATTGTAAATAGATGAATTAAGAAATAACACACTTCCGGTTAAGGTGTGTTCGTATGACAATGAGAAAACAAGTAATTTTCTCAGTGGGCCAAAATGTCATCATTCCGATGATAAACAATTTCCTCATAATCAGCATAGGGTTTCATTGGTGAATGTAGAAATTTCATAGTTTATCTCACGAATCGATTTTAGATAGACCACTTTTGGAAACCTGGAAACACCAAAACAGCCAGGTTATCTTAGTATATGACTCTTTGGAGGTGCGCATTCACAAAATTGCTACTAGGGAATCAAACTCAGGACCTTCGTCTACTGTATACAATAGATTAAGGTGAAATGATTAAAGTCAAACATTACCACCGTTGAATGGCGGCTTATAACCAAACGTTTAGGCGTTCGTGTTAGAGATCAAAGTTCTTAGGTTATATTTGATGATGGTCTAAGTAAGTTCGATTAGAGATTTAAGGTATGAAATTTCTACAAATTCCACAACACCCTATACTAATATTATGTGCTCCTTGGTGATGCAATTCCTGGAGTTCGATTGAGCTGTGATCAGTGGGGTCCAACTATGTCAAGTGTGGAAGACAGTTATCTACTACAGGCAGTGGATGAGGATCAGACAACATCATGAATCTTTAGACTTTTCTTCATATGCCATTAAACAATAATTTTACTTTTAAGGTTTCGTAAGAGACAAACGCTGATAGTTAATGAGAATAATTAATCTTTTATAGTAAAACTAATCACTCTCAAATCATACAACATGATTAAAATTTTGTCACAACAAAAATAACCTATTGCATTGCAGCATTCGTAAACAACATTACCATAAGAAACATACATACACTGTAGCTGAAATTATTTTTTACTATAATAAAAAAGTTTTTTTTATACACAAATAACGGAGGAGATTAAAAACGCATGACAATTAGATTAACAGAATTATTATCAATATACCTAGTGATTATAAAGAGATTTTTGAATATTCCCTCAAATTTTGATCAAAAAATAACTGACGTTTATCCAAGGTAGACAATGATAAAAACCAGAAACCATTGAACAGCAATGAGAAAGATAGATACAAAAGTTTCAATGAAATGTGAGTTGTGAGTCAATTGAATGAAAAATAAGAACAGCAATTAATCAGTTCAGTCTGATGTATGATATAATGTACAGTATATCGTGCAAATTGAAAACACGCGAAAGTTTAGTGCTCAGCCTCATGCAGTATCCCCATCAACTCATTCAGCTGAACAGTACTAGAATTACGTTAAAAACAGTCTGCTATTTTAAAATTATTACGCTGTATTCCGTTGACTTTAATTCGAAATAAAGAAATAAGTAGTGATTTACACTATTATTAGACTTAAATATATTAAAATGCCAAATTAGACATTATCTGTCTGCAATGAATAAAAAATATAAGTTGTTGTTGAAAATGGCAATGACGGGGTGAAAACAAATATGATGAAAAAAAAAATACTTTCAAAATCTTATTTATATTAATATTTTTTTATCAACAATGAAAAACATTGATTTTCATGGGTGTATATATTCTGACGCCAAGCTTGGTGTCATTTTCATAGTAAACTTACAATAGTAAAAAAAAGGTTGATGCAGGAATTTCTTCTGGACCAAAGTTTTTTTTACTAGCAATACTAATATATATGTACAAAATGAACACATACATTTTGAAAAATCACTAAACTAACACATAATCGTAAATCAAAAATACCTTGAAAAAAAAAATTCTAACCTTGCACAAAATTTATTAAAATTACAGAAACTACAATACAATACATAAAATCTACCGAATATTGAACATTGGTTTTTATCCAAAGGTTGAAAACTTATTACACACTGGATTTGATGAGAATATGCTATCATTGAAAAATTTAAACATGATATACTCGAAACATTGAATAATATGGTTAATATTTAATAATGTGAATAAAAATTATACTTTTCCACTGTATAATCAACTGATTAGATCTTCATAATAAAAGCTTTATAACATTAGTTGAAGTAATTTTCATGTCTTCATTTAGAATGTATGTAAACTTAAGATAGTAGTGTTTTTAAATAACATAACATTCGAGACAGCTCAGTATGCGAATAGTCGAATGTGAATTTCTAAGTTGGATTCAGAAAAAAATTTAGCTAATAATGCGGTTATTACAAACTGACTAGATGAAATCAAATAGAAACTTCAGATCAAAAGATTATGATGGTACATGTGAGATAATTCATTTCAGAACCGAATAATTTCTCTGTTCAGTTTGGTAAGGAGATGATAAGAAATCAATAATTATACAAGTAATAATAGGGTCATATTAAACAAACAGAAATAAAACAACAACAACAACAACAATCGATAATAACGGAGTGAAAATATTGATTTGGACGTCGGAAATTTTTATAGGAGCGTAAATTTTTCATTATTCTATGAACTAAAAGCATTATGAGTTGTGTTAATCACTGATATGGAACCATACAATCTACTGTTAATAGATAGATCGTTGAGATCGATAAGTTTTAACACCCGTGCACGAATAAGCATATCAATATCCTTTTATATTTAAGCGTCTAAACATCCATGGATACCGATAAAAATATCTGAATATAGTGCGATCAGTTGATAAGGCTAAAAATATATATTTGATTTATCAATTAAACAGCAATTTACAAATACGCTGAAACTAGTTCAGTAATCACGGTTTTACAAATGACAGTTGTAACGGATTTTCATGAGTTGACTTATTATAGTCGAGAGATGCTCAATAAAGGATCTGACTATTCTGTTAGCCATCAGACAAATCAAGAGAGGCAAAGTAGTGGGACCAGACAACATTCCAGCAGGGGCAATGAAAGCAGACCTGGGATCAACTGCAAAAATATGCTCGGAGGACAGCTGAGAGACCCGTTCGAAGTGAAGAGTGGTGTCAGGCAAGGTTTCTTACCCTCACCCATTCTTTTTCTCGTGGTGATCGACCGGATTATGAAGACTTCAACATCTGGAAGAAAGCATGGGATACAATGGACAGCTAGGATACAGCTGGACGATTTTGGACTTTGCAAATGATCTGGCTCTTCTACTGCACACGCAACAACATATACAAGAGAAGACAGCCTGTGTAGCATCCGTCTCAGCAGCAGCAGGTCTCATTATACATAAAGGGAAAAGCAAGATTCTCCGATACAACACAACTTCGAACCAAATCACATTTATCAACCAACACCAAAATCAGATTTTTCAATACAAGACTGTATGGGGCGAAAACTTGAAAAACTACGAAAGCCATCATCCAGAGGATACAAGTATTTATTAAAAGTTGTCTACGCAAAATATTTCGGAGCTGTTGGTGAGACACCATCAGCAACAATATACTGTGAGTGAGAACAAACCAGATTCCAGTGGAGGAAGAGATCAGAAAGAAGCGGTGGTAGAGGATAGGACGCACTTTGCGGAGAGCACCCAACTGCGTCAAAAGACATGCGCTTACTTAGAACCCTAAGGGTAAAAGGAAAAGAGGAAGGTCAATAAACACATTATCCCGATAAATAAAGGTACGAGGAAAATGAACAAAAGTTGGACAGGAATGGAAAGGGAAGCTCAGGACAGAGTAGGTTAGAGAATACTAGTCAGCGGCCTATGCTCCATCAGGGGTAACAGGCGTAAGTATGTAAGTAAATTTCTTTATTATTGAAGACGAAGGAGCGCTAAACAGTTGTTTAGTTCAAGTATGAAATCTCTCAGTAATGTGTGTCCAAGTCTCTAAAGGGTTTGGAATACAAGATATTTAGCACAAATGGCGATCGATTAACGCTAAAAAGACCAGGACTGAATTGAGTTGTTAACATTTCTAACTCTGATAAGCATGTGATACACAGACACAGTCGTCCAGTGACGAGACCATGAAGTCTCATATTAGGTTGCTATACAGTATCCAAACTGGTGTCCGTTTGTATGGAAGACTACCTGAGATTAAGAAAATAATACCTTTAAAGTTTGAACATCTAAGAAATGTGTCATTTTCAAAAGAAGCACTGAAAGATATAGCTTTCGAAGCCTATGAGGTTTATACATCTCTAGTCTAACTACTTACAAATATTTAACTGACATTGCCTATACATTATGAAAAATTTTATTCTTAAAGAAAGTTTAGTTCAGTACGAGTGACTTGAAAGCGTTTACACATAAAGCTTTAAAATTTTTAATTATCTTGATCAATTATAAATTTCATTTTTATTGTTTAAATGTAACACTAACAGGAAAAAAATTAAAGTCATAATGAGGAAAATAAAAGCCCATTAGTACTTTTTTCAAAATCTTAGTCAGTAGTATTGCACCAATATAAAAAAAGGGACAATCATAGTTATGATTTTAACTTTACATGTTCTTTTTTTTTGAACAAACAAAAATTATGTATAGACGAATGGTAGGATTAAATTTTGCTATACTAGAGTCACTTTTTCTCTTCTTCAC